GTTTTGGCTTTCTCAGTACTTTAGATTCCTCAATTTTATCTAAGACTGATTACGGGCGGTGAATATTCGTGAAATAAAGTGGTGTCATCCTATCTTGAAACTCTAGTACTTCTAACTTTGTCTAAACTAATAACTGGCAGAAACTGGAAATCAGTAATTTTGAAGGCAGCCATTTTGAATTGATGAGGATTTAAACTTCTTGTGAAAAAGACTTCTTCATTAGTCTAGCCAGAGATATAAACTAGAGAGTTAGTAAAACCGTCAAATTACACTTGACTACAAACAGTAATCGATGATCCCATGTTTAATTTGGAAATTTATAGGGATTGACAGACTTCAAATTAATATTTAGTCATGAAGTGGTATCACTTAGCGAACTACTGGAAACTTGGAAGTGCTGGACAGCAAGTTCTTCGCATGTTTTCGTAAACCTTTACCGTACACAAGACAGGTTATCGTGTGTGCAAAACAGAGGTAACTTTAATCATATCAGTAAATCACCTGAATATTTCTACTTAGTTTTAATATTTTATTGTATCAACAAATAAAACCTATCAGGTGGAAACCAAGTAATGTGAACCATTTGGTCATGAGTGCACCGCTGCTGAGAAGTCACATAGTAGGACAAAACAGCTGTCCAGTACTCTCAGGTTTTCAAAGATCCTCCAGCTACTGTATGTCCATGATGAATACCAGCATGAAAACAATAAGTAAATACATTGATAAGTCACGGGACAGCAACCAATTTCATGTTGTCTAATCCTAAGTGCAGACCAAATTCTATCGATCAGTTTTGTCATGTGGCCACCTAGTGGGTTTAACATCACAGCGCACATTAATATGTATTAACTGGTTGGAAGCGATGAACAGAAAGTCTTGGAAATAAGTTTCGTGCTTGCTGGTACTCGTCAGCAAGACATGTCTGCCACCTCAACCGAACAGATGTTCCACCTGAGACTAGAACTTGCATCACCCGGTGTTTTAGACACCGATGTTGCCACTAAGCTGACTACAACACTATGCGATGAGGGTTCAAATCTCAGATAAAGCTTCATTTCTCTCGAAGCTGCAGACATACCTTGACAATGAGTGTCAACAAGTACGAAACCTAGGTGAGGGGCTTGTTGCCAATCACCGCCAACTAACTAATAATAGATCAACCCCGGCAGACCTCCGAACTATATTACTCCCTAATACTGTGTAGTGACAGGCTTTGACATGGAACTTCTCTAAGTTTTGATACAACATCCTGACCGGTGAGGCAAACCAAGTCGGAATTGAGGAAAAATATTCAACGACGGCACTCAGTGAAGGAAGCACTATGTCGCGATCGACAGAAGTTGGAAATGTGGATCACTAGATTCCGACCTAATGGCTAAATGGTAATGGCATGACGCGTAACGTGAAGGTCCTAGGTTCAATCCTTGGAGGTTGGTGGCAGCTCGTGACTGCATGCTACTAAGCTTCGGTATACTGGGACGAAACAACTATTCGCTGGTCTTACGTGCTCAGTGGTTTATGAATATCAGGTTGAAAACATTTTGAATAATGAGTCACAAATAACATTTTCTCAATATCCCCTTTAACTCATCTGATGAAATGTCGACTGCAGCAAAAGAAAAGAAGAGCTACTAAGAGAACAGATCACAGAAAAGGGAGCAGAAAAGTAAATAAATGTAAGCATTCAAATTGTGTATATATATGAAGTAAGTGATCCTTTGTCAGAAACTGTGTTACAAGCAGTTAGACCAAAGATTTGGCTGTCTGGTATCTGAGAAAGATAAGGTAGTATTTTAACCACAAAAAAATGAAAGCAATGACTTGGTTCTTAAGTTTACACTGAAGCTGAGGATATAGATTCATACATATTCAATCTATATGCGTGATATATTTCATGGTACCGCAGAGAAGATAGATTGTAGACCAATCGATTGTAATCCAATTTTATTTTAATGCTAATGACGAACTGAAAAGTTGAGATGATTGAGAATTAGTAGCCTTAAACTCAGGTTGTTGGATCTGAGTAAGCGTTTGATAGGCACTGTTCGTCTAATGCAACATATTAAGATATAAAAACCAATCTGTAGTCTTGCATCACTAATTGACCATCTGTTGTTTCATGCTTGAAATCTCTTGTTTCTATATTGAGTCGAATTGCTCGACCTCTGTTGGCATATGGGTGCAGGAGCGAACGTCTCGATAGTGCTGAATACTCATTATATTGCATTCATCTTGGAGAATAGTAATGGGATCCATGACATGCATTTCATCCTACAAATTCATCTCAACAATCACTTATTTCTAGCTAGCATAAGGAATGACACTATCCCACCTAGTGTCTACTGACGTCAAATCAACGATGTACATCAGCAGATTATTTTGCTATAGACCACTGTTGGAAAGGAGAGGTGAGGAGCTACTACCCTTTCTGGAGTAAATGTCTGAACTCCAATTACGCGTTAACACTAGCACCTGTGTGTCTTTGACTTCACTGAAAAAAGTCAGCATTGAGTAGAAAGATTAGGAAATTAAGTGAGTGTTTAAAGAGGAAATGGTGAAATATTTGCGTAAACATGGCAGCAATACTCTTCAAGACCAAGTCTAGCATAACATCCTGTCTGCTGTGAAAAAAGTAGTAAAGACAGCTGGTAAACTGTATCCGAATCTTACAGAAAGCCGGTATGTTTCTGCAGTCTGATATGATTTGACTGAAGCAACAAAACTTATCTCACCTTGCACTAAAAACGATAAAAAGTTAAAGTAATGAAAAGGTAACTTGTTTCAGAGTCTTCGTGATAACCGCGAGCAGTGGTGAGTAACAAAGTGCAAGAAGTATTGGGGGTTACATTACCGGGTTACACTTGAAAAATTTTGAGTGTGTTATCTAAACTGATAGGAGGAAAGTGATGTCTGTAAAACTGTCGCCGAAAAGAGTGGGTCAACAATAAAGTTAAAGGACAGGTGGCTAAAACTAAGATCATGAGTATTACTGGTCTGAGATCACGCTTCGGTTGTCGAACCATCAGTCTTAACCTGAATGGGACATTATTGTTCGGGTTGTAGCAATTAAGGAAGTTAACTGGGCTGCTGAGACCTGGAACGGTACATAGTTTTTAAGAACGGGGTAGAAAATTGTTAAGTAGAGTAACGATGCTATTAGGTAGCGTGTGAGAACCAGATGTAGTTCCCTCAGATTAGTTTAAATCACTGATCATGTCAGTCTGCTTAAAAAATGGCACTCGGCTGTGTCATTCTGATAGGTTGCGGCGGTACCTAACTATGAAGGCAGTACAGAGCAAGTATACAACTCTAAAAAAGGCTGCCTAATTGAACTCATGCAACTGTGCAAGGGCTTACAAAAAGTAGTCATATGAAGTGAAAACAGTCAGTGGTGTTCACCAGGAATGTCTGATGTTACCATTCTTTGCTAACTTCGTTACAGAGGTCCTCCGAATTCCAAGATGATGAACTAGGTCCTTTTTATTCAGACACTGCTGAAATCCAGTCTTCTGAGTACCTTGAAAAGAACTCTGAGTATGCTTGGCATACGCCTTGCACCTGTGAAATATAAGATGATGCTTAGGAATTGATCTGTCTTGATTCTTGGTTTATGCCTTATTGTCTAGGTGGTAGAAGTTGGGTCCAATTTATTTACTCATGAAGTCGTATCAGCCGGAGTGGAAGCTTACCGATAAAATCTCACCTTTTATTCGATAGGGCCATTTACATCTGCCAACCTACTCCGCTTATGTTACCTGCAAGATATTGGACTACACGTGAAATCAACCGAAATAAGATTAGGATGCAATGAAGCATAAGTTGACCAAAATCAGGCATCATACCAGAACATGAAGTCTCAAACAGTTGAACTGAGCCATGTAGACAAGTGTCTAGTTGGCGTACTCGAAACAACTGTAGTCAATGATGGTATCCTTTATAATACGGCTAAAAATTGATCATAGTGTTGAAGATACACACATTACTTTTTATCTTGAAATTTAGGTGGTATTCACTGATCTTAATTCTTATATTCACCTTAACCCTTCTCATACGCTCGTCTACACTCATGTCATTCTTTCATGTACATCTTTTTTATGTGCATACTGTTGTTATGTGTTACAGCTTGAACCAGCGTATATCCTTGTTCGATTCCACTGTGATCTGTATATCACTCTCTTTGTCTCTTTGGTAACTTGTATGACATTTAAAAGTTTCTATGAATTGGTATGTCTAACCAAAATCATGGGTGACTTACCAGTAAGAATTTAATACTGAATACATATATACCTATCCCTTCTCCAAATTTTTGAAACTATTCATACATGATTTCGCGCTAATGTTTAATTATGGTTCGAAACATCTTACCTGCATGGTAGACTGCTGCTAACACTGCAGTAATGTTTTCCCTTAACATTGCGGTTTCTTATCCTAACCTTAGATTGGATGCGGTTTCAGATGTGGGGTTTATTGATCATAGGAAGAGAAAGAGGAGAGAATTGCTGAGAAAAAATGTTTCTTTTAGACAAAATTGTTCTTTTAGCTGTACACTAGTGAACATATAGTGGAAAGGATAGAACATTCTAGAGTAATTTCCGGCCAAAGATTGATATAAATTGCATAGCAGAGGAAGGTTACATAAACTCTACAGGTAGTTAAAAAGGGAAACAAATCTCCATGTGATGGAGATATATGAATTAATCGAAGGTGATGAAAATAGAGTAAAAGGTGTTACAGGATAGTTCACTGTTGGCTTTACTCACGAAGTATCTGTTAAGTAAACTTGATCAGTAGAAGCACTGACACTGAACACAGTGAACATCGATTGTCCTGAAGTGTTGATAAGTTTGTTTATAGGGAGGTTTATAAGTAAAATATTTTCCACGGCATTATACTAGCGTTCTGTCACTTTTAGCAGCTTTAAATTCTTCTCTATCACTTTAAGTGGACATTGAGTTTCCATCAGGATTTCCCTCAAATTCTTCGGTATCTTCCAAGCATAAGTTTCATATTTTTTACAAAAATGGTTCGACAAGGTATTTCTTTTTGTCTAAGGGGAGGTAAATGTTAAAATTAATCAGCTATGCATTCCAAGTAAACTTTCTGCAAGTAGAACTCTGGACTGAAATTCTATCTTTTCTTTGTGGTAAGATTGGCTATAGTTACTGGGTTCGAATCTTAGTGGAAACACCATCATTCGCAAGGATGCAGGTTCGCCCGGCTGACGAATCCCAAATAGGAATAGGTGTTTTGGATTCCACCACCAATCATGAAGTAAAAAGCTGTTATATAATTAATATCCTGAAAGTATAGAGTGATCTGGCTGGGCGTTGGTCTGAGGACGGAGGTCGGACATTTCAACCTTGTATACCAAACAGAAATTGCAAATACCAAAGCAACAACTGATATCCGCTGCTTAGGGTGTAGCTGTTGTGGTCTAGTGGCCTAGAGGATACCATTCCGGCCTTTGAAGCGAAGAGAACTGTTTATCACTCACTAAAATGCAACTGCATCCAGCTGACGAGTCTCGTAAAGGATGAAACGCATATCCTGGATTCCACTGCTAGCCATCCAGTATCCAGTTCAATAGTTTTACCTTTCAAATACTGTTCAACTTTTATGGAGTGGTACAAGCCATCAAATTCGCTGTTTAGTCATGTTTTATATTACAACTCATTCAAATTCTTGAAATGCTTCCAGCCGACGAATAATTTTCGTAGAGATGAACAAAAATGTAATGTAACGTCTCTATCTCTGTGGCTTATAATGATTACTGACTCGTCTTCGACGCTGATGAACCAAATGATTAATACTCTATTTTTATAACTCACTAAACTTGATTCCTTTTGTTCCATTACATCTTAAAGAAGTGGGTTTAGATCACGAGAAGTGAAATTCATCAATAAAGCGGAAAAAGTAATACCGTCAATCGAATCTTTTTTTGGTTCATGTTGAGATTTCATTTTTTTCATTCAGTTACGTCTTTCAACGTCTGTTTAGGAAATGTAACGCAGTATAAACAGTTATCTCCAGTAACACAGACACCTGAAGATTAGTTATCGTTAACGTAGCCGGATTGAAAGTTATCCTATTACTTTTCGCCTCACTACTATCTAATTCTAGACTTGATTTGTATCACTCGCGCAAAAGTAGCTTGTACTGTTAGCTAACTAAATTTTATAGTTCTCCAACTTCGAAATGTGACTACAAGATATTAAACAGTAAATGATTCACAAAACGTTGATTGCAAACAAACTGAACAGAGAATAGTCTTTTCAATGAATTCTCATCAGTTCTGTAATTATAAAATGCGGTCACAAAGCGCAAAACAAGCCAAGTTTGAAAACACCAGTTAGGAACTGCTAGGAAATCCATTTCTCTTTTTAAGTATGCAGATGACGAGTGTTTTGATAAACAAAACACAACGAATAAGAATTAGTTTGACACAACATTCTCATATGTATATATGTCATCCTAATAATGACAAATTTAAAAGAAAAGATGATTACCTTAAAGTTTCATACTCCTCTTCCGTTTGAAGTTGTATTCGCTTCAAATATGGCTTGTTCTACTCCGCACCACAGCACTTTATATTGGTGAAAATACTGATAATAGCTTTATTCCAAACAAGATGTTTCACACAATATAGAAAATAACCATGTAATCTATTGACAAATTCACTCCCAAAACAATATTTTCAAACAAATGATTATTACTTTTGAATAATGTTCAAAGAAACAACATTAAAGGCAATAATGTAAAGCAGCCAGTTGGTGATGGATTGATGTCAGGTCTAGAACGAGCATACGGTTTATTCAGCCAGTAGAAGACTGTACTATTGGAGATAGGTATTCGGGGAATAGAAATATAATGCATTTCTGTGCATTCCAAAGTCCATTTCCATCCAGTATGATATTCTTCCTTCATTTTGTTATTCAAGAAACGGATCATTGTAACAATCTTCAAGCGTACATGATTCGTCAGGAAGACATATCTGAAAGACTAAAACAGGTGAGAATTTATTGAAAATAATGTTCTTTGTCCAGACTAAAGGAAAGTTGTACAAACTTAGGTCACAACGTGATGAAAACAAAGAAATAACAGCGTGACGTTTGTGTTTCTTTTCCAGCGAATGAATCACTATCTTTTCCCGGAAGCATAGAATCCAAGACAAGCATGCACCAAACGCAGAAGACTTACAGACATACTCTACTAAAACAAGAGGCCTAATTATCATTGTTCCAAAATTTCCGGTCAAGATTACTTGTGTTAGCTCAACGTAAGGTCGGTTCAAAGAAAGCCTTGTGTCAAATACTCTTTTTCTACATCAGGTTCACACATCAATAGATCCATTCATTAAATACATCAAATGACAAACTTATTCTCAGTCATTCCACGTATGATACCAAGTAATAACTAATTTCATTGCGATTATAAACCTTTTCACTTCCACGGTGTTATTTATTTTTCAGTAGATTCATGAGGAAAGGGTAACCAGGGTAACCTGTTTGAATGACACTTATTAGACATTCACTGTTACTAAATAAATAAAATTTTCTTAAAAAATATAAACATATTCAGTGGCACTTGTGAACAGTTTCTCTGTTGACTTTGTAAGCCATAATTCGCCTGACCCATCCGTATTACTATTGATTAACTACTACTAATTTTTTGAACATTGGTTCATCATACTTATCTGTTTCTCGCTTTTGTGTTCCTTTGTACATGTACTTACCGATTTACGCACTACTGGTTATCGACCTTAAGGTATTCGTATTTTAGAAATCAATGGGTAATTGACGTAACGGCATAGCTATCAATGCTTTTTGGTGACCAAAGCTCAGCGATCATAATTTGCAATGTGGAGACCAATTCACGTGACGCGACACTATGGTTTCTCAGTATTTTGGCATTAACTTCAATCCGCTTTATTATTACTATCATCTTCCCTACTAATTGAGGCTAGAAAAATGTATTTTCAGTACCAGCTCACTAACTAACCTGTTGAATAAAAAAACTGTCAATGGTTGCTTGAATCATCCTCGAAATGAATCAGTAATTCAGCATAAATGCATTATTATTTATTATTATTTGTTCTTTGCGTTCATAATGGAACATAGGGCTTCGGTACACATCTCCACTGCACTCTGTTCTCTGCAGTTTTTTCAACCTGTCTCCACAACTGCCCAAAAGCTTTCATTTCTTCCTTTCACGATCTCCTTCATGTCACCCTAGCCTCGGACGCCCAACTCATCATTTACCATTTAGGTTCGACTCAACAATCTGGCAAGTGATGTTCCTAATCGGCCTTCTCAGTGTATGTTCAATCCAATCCATCTCCACTTTCTTCTGCATATTTTTTGGGCAATGAGTTCTTGGTTGGTTCGTTGCAAAACCGGAGTTCCTTGCTGCTTATTCTTTCTGGCCATCTGATCTTCAGTGTCGAGTGAGCGAAGGTGGCGGGTGTTATACCCTAGTTTACTAAAGTACGGTAACCAACTATTGCACAACTGGTATAATTTCTGATTTATTTGTGTTTTTAGTTCCCCATCGATTAGTGTATTGGGCAAAATATGTGTCCTGGATTTCAGTGCTTGCCATCACTATGCAAATAACTGTTATAGATACTGGACCGTAAGTGAAAAATGGGACTATTGTAGTAAATTCCACTTGTCAAGTTGTAACATTGATCAAAATCAAATAGCTACAAAGGAAATAACTTTTTTTGTGTATGTCCTAATCTAGGTCTGGTTTTTATCTTAAAATTAGGATATTTTCAATAAGTAATTCATATTAAAGGAAATCAATTTTCCTCACTTTATTTGGCCATTTGAAGAATATATGGAATCGGAAACCAAGAAATTCTCCTGAATTAAATTAAAAATTACCATTTATTTTCTAATGAGTTTTGATTCTCCGCTTTTTCAATGGTTATCTTACAGGGGAAGGCATGAGGAACAGTTTAGTACATGAGAGAAACAGTTCCAGCTATCATATGATTTATGCTTTCAAATGTAATTTGAGTACTTAGTATGCATTAACTATTCATTTGTTTTGTTTACCGTAATGTTTTTAAATGGAGTTTATTTATTATAGTTTATCAGCTGGGGTGATTAGGGTTTATAATAAAAGCCAACATTATCGAATCCCTAAATGTATGGTTTCTGAGTCGCTGGTTAATTTTTTTCTGTTCCAAATTGTCACGGTCACCACTACATCCACCCTCTTCTACACCGCCTCCGTGCAGCAGTTGATCATTGTATTTTGATGTTGAAGGTGGATCTGGGTTGCTTACGGTCACGCGGACATGCATTCAGCAGCAGTTCTCCTCTCGAATGTAACTCATCTACAGCTTCATACACTTTACCTAGCCTCTACTTCATCCATGTACACTAAAGCACGTGGGAAGCGTTGTTTCACAGAGGGGAGTACCGTAACGCATTTTAACCCTTTCTCATCAACTTAACAAACTCTATTTCTAGACTGCTACATCTCTTCGCTGTGAATCACTACCCTGTTTTTTTAATCAACTCAGACTTTAGTGGATTATTTATCAAGGAATTTGTGCTGGATGCTCGAAAATAATGTGGAGAAGATTATCGATAAACATGTAGATAAACGCGTAGAAATATTCTTCCGATAAGTAGTTTGTAGAAGTGGTCACCATAGTGATTGTTTCCGGCCAATTCCGAATGATACGTGCAGTTTTTCGACTGTTAGCCTCACCTAATTAGATCTAGAGATTTGATCACCAGGGTCGGAATTATTTGAGTTGGGTAATCGTTCCATGAGACTTAACACAGAACTTCAGTTCAAAAAACTTCCTCAGTCAAACCAGTCATTTAGCGCTATCTACATGTGGAATGGTTGAAAGCATCCTTAGAAGAGAACTGTTACTAGTACCATTAAAGGTAATTTAGCGATTAGTGCAAACTTATTAGGGTGAATCGCAAAGCTGTAAACAAAAATGCAGCATAACCATAGTATGCTTATTATAAGGCTGTACAAGGAAACTGAATTTGTATTCATGAATAGAGATGACTCCAACGACAGAATTAGTGGCATCCTCGAAAATACCAATGACAAGGATCACATTGAGAAAGTATATAAAGGTTTTCGAAAACGGAAAACTTAGTTAACTAGTGGTATAGTCTCATTGGAAACTCTTAAATGACCTAGCTACTTAGGTCCAATCATACGAAAAACGTATGGATTACCTGAAATTCGTACAACCTAGCGTACCAATGTGCCCTATATATATTCGATTCACCATGTCAGAAAATTGCAAGATTGCTATCAGGTATACTGAAAC